AGCCCAATAACGTGTCTTTGACTAAAGCACCTCCCAGAAAGGCCTCCAGTGTTAATTCGAAAACTTCAAGAGCTGGAGAAACCGCCACTTCTCCTTCTCGTTTGTTCCAAATGGTTAATCACCCTCACGTAAAAGCTTGTGCCTTCTGTCTGGCTTTAATCTAGTGGAGAAAGGCAAAACAAGAACTAATGGCTGGAAGTTAAAGAACACTTTCATACTTGGTATGTTCTCCTAAAGAAGGTGCAGAAACCTGGTAATAAGAACTGCCATACTGGGTCACACGAATGGTCCATCTAGCCCACTATCTGTCATCTGACAGTGGCTGGTGCCAGATACTTTTGGAAGGAATGAACAGAACAGGGTAATTATTGTGATCTGTCTTCCAGTCCCAGCTCTGGCAGTCAGAGGTTTAGGGATACCCAGAACATGGGGTCCCATCCCTGACCATCTTGGCTAATAGCCATTGATGGATCTATTCTCCCTGAATGTATCTAATTTTTTTTTTTTTAAATCCAGGTGTAGTTTTGGCCTTCAACATTCGCAGACAGTGAGTTCCACAGTTGGGGTTGGTCCTGCTTTGAGCAGGGGATTGGACTAGATGACCTCCTGAGGTCTCTTCCAACACTAATATTCTATGATGCTGTGACTGCTGTGTGAAGCTGACCATCAAGCTGCCTCTGTCTTTTTGATAAACTAACAAATTGAGCTCTTTAACTCTCTCCTGTAAGGCATTTTTTTCCAGGGCTCAATTTTTGTGGCTCTATTCTGCACCCTCTCCAATTTTTCAACATCATTTTAAAAATGTGGACACCAGACCTGGTCACAGTATTCCAGCATGGGAGCAGGATTTTATAATTGTACTATAAGAATAGAGGTACTAATGTATGTCTTGATTTCATTTTAAGACTGACCCTCTGGGACATTGGTAGGAATGCATCTGATAGACTGCCAGTGTCTGTACTGATAAGGCAGGGACAGACCAGAACAATCCTTATGACTGATTATGGTCACCCTTTTGTTTTAGGATAAGTTATAATGTCTACTATGGTTTCCTCTCTGGATTACAAATTAGTTACTCTAGTTAAATATACATTTCTTTGATTTAAGGTTTAGTGAGTAAAAGACAGGATCTTGTATTGTGTCTATGTTAATTAGATTAAAGGAATGTTAAAGGCCTGAGCCACAATGTAAACTGTTTTGACCACAAGATTTAGTGAAGTTTAATGTATTTTGCTGAATATAAAATACTGCTGTCTTCTCTGTGAGAGATTGATTGTGTAAATGAGGAATGCATGCATCAGGAAAAGAGAAGGTGTGAAAGCCACCACAGACATCCAAGAAAAAGTGAGAGACTTGGAAACACAAGGAGACAATCAGAAAACATCCATTGTATCTGATGCTAAACATGTTAGCAGCATTAACAACTTCAGAGGTGAGGCAGGCACCCCTGGAAGGCAAGACAACAAATAGGAGATAACGATGGGAAGCCTGACAACAACCATCAAATGATAACAGCAGAAAACCCCAAGATTACCACCACTTAAGGAGGACATTGCAAAATGCATGGACTCAAATGGGAATTTACAAGTATAAAGCTGGGGTGTTTTGCCATGAAACTCTGGGTTCAGTCCTGCAAAACCTCGGAGCATCGGATTGTGAGCGACAGAACCGAGCTCCTCACTCGTGTTCAGTCTAACTGGCCATTAGATTGACTTGAGCTACAACAGACCGGTGACTATAAAAACATCAGGTTTCAGAGTAACAGCCGTGTTAGTCTGTATTTGCAAAAAGAAAAGGAGGACTTGTGGCACCTTAGAGACTAACCAATTTATCTGAGCATGAGCTTTCGTGAGGGCATAAACAGGGCAGGGATTTTCCCTCTCTATACATGCCCAAGGACTGTATTAGCCCTTTTTGCTACAGCATTAGCCCTTGGAACTCATGTTCAGTTGGGTGACCTTTAAAACATTTTTTTAGAATCACTTTTTCCAGGATATAGTCTCCCATTCCTTGTTCCTAGCTGGATGACCTTGTATTTGGCAGGAATGGGCCTAGCTTACAAAGCAATCTCTGACTGCTCCCCTCATTCTTTACCACTCGGCAATTCTCTATGTGATCCATAATCTTATTAGCAGTGATTTTATATTTACCTCCAGAGAGCGGATAAAAAGCATTGGGGCCCAGCACCAATCTCTGGAATTCTACTGTGATTCCTCAATAACAGCGACTTTTTGAGAGCTGTTGGTTATTTAAAGTGGGCTTTATTGTTCATTAGTTCCACTTCAAAGGCAGGGATAACAGAATCATTCAGCAGGGACATACCTTTCCCCACATCACATCAACAGAGCCCAGCGCAGACCCCTGGCCTCCCTGTCCTATGGTTGTGCCCTCAGAGGAAGCTGTTTCTCTTAGAATCCTCCTCTTTGACTTGTAAAGTCCTTGGGGATAGTGCATCTGCATCCTTTGCTGTTTGCATAGCTCCTGGCATTCCCAGGGCACTGCTAGAAATATTTATATACTGAATAATCTAATCGGACATCACACAGGAGAGCCCTGCAATCACATCTCACGTTCCTAGGTGCCCCCTTTAAAATCTGGATCAGCTGCTGGGTATCTTCCATTTTCTATATTTGATCTTAGCTCCTGTGCACGGGGAAGTGTGTTAGCACCTTGGAAAATTAAGGCCTAAACATAAAATTCCCCATTCAGTTAGTGGCCATTCTAGCACAGTGTCAGAATAATGAGGAATAGCTGATCTCTGCACTCTTCCAGCTTTCGGACTGATTTTAAGGCTTCCTAGGCGTACATATGTATAGTCTAAAATCAATTCTACCCATCCCACAAAGCTCTGTCTCAATCTGGTGCTTCCACTGATAATTCAGAGAGAAGCCTTCTGCACAGGGAGAGTGAATGCACTGTGATAAGCCCTGGCTGGTAATTTAAAGCAGTAGGAGAGGTGTGAAAGCCATCACAGACATCAGGAGGGTTTCAGGGTGTGTGTGTGTGTGGGGGAATACCCCACCAAACAACTGTGCAAACATGCAACAAACTGTCTGTTTGCATTTCCCTTTAACTTCTGCTTTTATGGCTGGATGGCTTGTTACGCTTCAGTTTTCTTTCCCGGTACGTTTTGCTTGTTAGTCATTTACAACACGACACTAGCAAGTGACCGCAAGGGCAGAGCTGCTCTTGGACATGGAGAACGGCAGAGGCATGAGCTCATCCTTGCCCTTGCATAGCAAGAGATAGGTTGAGCCCAGGAGGCTCCTCTGGGTTTTTCCATTGGCAGTGGGGTGACCCATCCTGCAGGAGAAATCTTAGATCAGGCCCACAAATGCCCAGAGTCTCCTGTGTTCACAGGGTGCCCCCCGCATCCTATTCAGCTCCGTGCCTGTGGCTGCCTCTCTCCAACTTTTTCACAGGGTGGGTGGGCTCCCCACTGTGGATGATGCATCTGAAGAAAATGTAGCACAGATTCAAGCTAGGGTAACTTCCCCCGCAATCCCCATGGAGCATGATGTATGTATCCCCAGCTTGCTTCCTCAATCACATGGATCTCTAACCCTGGGCAAATGGAGAGGAAGTGGATGCAGCCCTAAACCCTACTATCCCCCATTTCTGTACAAGCAGGGGAAGATCTGTGGATGGAGGTTTCGTCTCCACATGCTGGCCACTGGCCTCCAGTTATAAAGACCTGTAATAGCAATAATTCTCCCTAAGCAGGTGCTGATTGCTGTGCAGGCACCTTGGCTTAGGGAATCTTGATTTGAGGAGGTTGAACTAGCAGACCCAGCAAGTCCCTGGGGCACAGACCATGCCAGTCAGTGCAAGTTTATGCCAGTCAATATACTCTAGCCATGACCCACCTGGGGGAGGAAAGGAAGAGTCATGTCTCCGTAACCAACCCAAAACGGGCAAGTGGGGTGCAGAATCCTTTTCTTCCTCAGCTGGACTAAGATGCCCGCTCCCACCAGCTCATTTCACAAGGCTCCCCAACAGCCTTCTGGGGGTAAGGACGTTCCATCACAAATGACTCAGGCTAGTTTTGAACCAATGACTGCACACAAAAAAACCAACCTCCATGGCAGGGAGACTCAGAGCCCAGGTCTACTGCCTCAGGCTTGTGCTAGGGTACTTAAAAATAGCCATTCCTCCTTGGAGTGAAGCTCGGGCTCTGAAACCCAACTCCCCTCGCCGTGTCTTTGTTGCAGGTTAGACATACCCTTCGAGGTCAGAGCCCCCGCCCCTCGTTTGAGCCACTCTGTCCACTGGACAAAGATGCAGGCTGTATTAACCCCCATTGGTAACAGGCCAGGGTCTCCTGGAGGTCTTTATTAACCCAGAAAGACAGCACCTCCAGGTGCCTAAGGCTGCCTAGCATCATGGTGGGGCATTGGCTCACTCCTGTCTGAGAGGAGTGCGCCGCCTTCTGGCTCACCCATGCCACTTCCTGCAGTTCTCCCAACTCTCTCGGGAACTCTGATGGCTCAGCTAATGCCCCCTAAGCGGTGAGAGCCTGAGGCTACTGCAGCTGCAAGTTATGACATTGGCATGGTGGGAGGGCAGGACACGAGCAAAAATTAACCACCTCTACCTACAAATGACTACATGCAAATCTATTTCTTGTGCACATATAAATCTCCAAGGATTTTTTTCAGCCTAGCACAGTTGTTCCCCACTAATTAGTTTATTATTCTATATTGTTTGACCTACTGTGCCTCCACGTTTGCAGCAATTTCCTTCTTGCGGTGGCAAACTTTCCTTGCAATTAGCCCTGGGGGCTGCTGAGTTACGCTAATAAACCTCTCCTGGCTCTTCCTCTTCATTAGCAAAGTTGCACGTGAGGAGTTTTTATGGCAGTGAAACTTACAAGTCGGTGTGAGATCTTGGCAGAGCAGCCATTGCCTTCGGCAGGCATTAGTGCACCGACCTGCACGTGCCTGCCCTCATTATTGTCAAAGGTTACACGGAGTAACACATGAAAGGCAATGAATCCTTACCATGAGCTGCTTGATAGTCGGGTGTTCCTCTGTCTCCCTGCCTGAGGCAGGCTCCTTATGTACAATCTCTACACGGATGTCGTTCTTGGCTGAAACCACGCCTTTCAGATCTGAGCAAAGAGAGAGCGAAGCTGTTATTTGCAGGCAGTCATGACAGCCGAGCAAACCCCCTCCCAACATATGTGATTGCCGATAACGACTGTCAACATAAATAGATCCTACAGTAAAGAAATTGACTCTCTCTCAATGACATGTTTGCTGTTTGCAACTGGCGAACCGCAATGTGTTCTGCAAACATTAATTGAGCTTTGCAACACTCGACCAGGTACTTAAGTAATACGTAGCGGTTGATTAGTACACCACTGAAATGCAGCCACCTCTGAGATGGAGCAGAGCAGCTATTTAACAGCGCACAGCAACACTGCACAGCTTCTTGATCACAGGAAGTGAGGAATTATAGTGTGTCCAGTTGAATATAATCCTTTAGATCAGCGTTTCCCAAACCTTTTTTGGCCACGGAACACCTGGTATACGGAACACTTCGAATATTATTTTGTAGTCGTTTGGTTTTCAAATAAAAAATTGAGTTATTTATGCTCAAATATATTTTATTTTATAAAACAAAGCAAAATACAAATTTAAAATAACTGGAACACGCGTATAAAGGAGTACAACCCCCTTTTTTTTAATTACGATTCTGTCACGGAACACCTACTCCCATGGGGCGTAACTCCAGTGTTCCACGGAACACAGTCTGGGAAACGCTGCTTTAGATCAAGTGTTAGAGGCCTGCAGCCTAGAATTAGTACTGCAGTCTCTGTTCATGAGCGAGGGGGAGGGGTGATCACGGTACCAGCTTTGAAATGCGGGAAAGTTCAGAATGATGATTATAAAAAGGTTAGAGCATTTGGGAGCTAGGCAGTCTGTGTGCGCTTCCATGTTGACCTGAAGGATCAAAATGTGACCTCTACAACACCAGCAGGAAGCAGAATGCAGATAGGCCACTGAAACCTCCCTGTGTGTGATCACGCTGGAAGAAGGTGAGCAGGGAGATAAAGTAATCTCTAGGGGTTGCAAAAGGACAAGCTTCAGTTTTTACTTTCTCTAGTACCATATTTTCATTTACTGTCTGTCTAATACATCTTAAGTATTATCAACTGGGAGGGCTGCTGCTCTCAATCCATTAAGCCCAAGGTTTTGTACAGCACCAGTGACTGGGTACAGCAGGCTAAGAAGTTTGGTTCAGTTAAGTACCCAAATGGTGGGAGCCTCATCCAAACCTCTGACATCTATAACACTGGACTGGGAGTATAACTGGGCAGGAATTTTTCAATGGAAAATGCTGGTTTGTCAAAATCAAAACATGTTGCTGTGAAGGAATTGCTGGTCAAAGCCAGCGAAAGCGAAGCAATAGCTGAATGGTTACACACCCCGCTCCCCCATCCAGCCCCACTCCATTCCCCCAACTGCAGAAGATCGTTATGTTCTGATGCAGAACAAAATCAAATTTCAAAACCCCCAGTGTTTCGCAAAACGTAATTCTTGTTTCCCAGCCGGTCCGAACTGAGAGTTAAAAGAAACATTTTCATGCTACTTCTGGCACATCCTCCTTTTGCTTGGGTTGGGAAGCCCACAAGAAAAGCCTTCCCGATGTGCTTCAGGGCCTGGATGACACTAGAGCATGCAGAGGCCTTTGCAACAAGGGGCTAAGTAATGAACAAGGCGTTAGCCACTGTTTTGGGACCCCAACTGAGGCCTGTGCAATTGCCATACAGCCCCACATGCATTAGTACAGCATGCAGAAGGGAAATGGGATTTAGAGGCAGGGTTGTTTCGGGAACAACGACTTCCTTTTGGTTCCCAAAGGATGGCAGTAGCTCTTTGAAAAATAAAACCAAAGCCCCAAACAGCAGGCCTTACAGGAGGCTGAGGCTGAGATGACAAGCAGAGATGGACGTGAATCTAAACAGCCCAATCCAAACAGCCCTAAACTTTGAAGTTTGGCTCCAGACTGAGAGCTGGATCTGCATAACAGGACTGGCTCTTGTCTCTCCAATGGGTTGAACCAAACCCCTAGATTCAAACACCACCTAACCTTTGGCCCCTTCAGATCTGCACCCAAACGTGCTCAGGCCTCCTCCAACAATGATACACTTAGAACAAACTAGATTTTGCAGGCGTTCCAAACAGATTGGTTTAGTTAAATGTCCTTTGCAGCTGGCTCTCAAACTGTTAGCCAGTGGGCTGAATCCCATTTGAAAGCTAAAAATACATCCCCTGCTTTCCCATGAAAGCAGCTACTGTAACTGGCCACAGAAGGGTGTGCAGCTGGGAGGGCAGGTGTGTGCGCATGATCAGAAAGGGGTCGGGAAATGACCCTAGGGCACAGTTGTTCTCCCTTGGAGTGGACCAGATGATAAAGTCTCATGGTTCCATAATACTACACCTCTTGGTTCCTCACTGATCCCCTCAGGAGCTCAGAGAGACAAGTGCTGGGGGGGTCTGATGCTGTGCAGCAGTGACAAAGCTAAGCGCCCTCAGTGGCTCACAGGATTTGGCCCTGTTCAGTCAGAAAAGCCAGAAGGAAAACTGCAGTTAATTATCATAATTAGAGCTGGGTGAAATTGTTTAGACAAACCTTTTTTCAGGTGACAAAGGCAGATTTGGGCCAACTGAAACACTTTGCGAATTCATGTTGAATTTGTTTGGTTTTTTGTTTTTTAACAGAAAGAACCTCACCCCAATTGAAATGCTTCATTTTGACATTTTTGAAATGGAAGTTTTCAGGTTTTCGATTCGCACTTTTTGTTTGAATTTTACTTTGATTTGAGAGAGGAATCCCGTGGCACCTTAAAGACTAACAGATTTATTTGGGCATAAGCTTTCATGGGTAAAAAACCCACTTCTTCAGATGCATGGAGTGAAAATTACAGATGTAGGCATAAATATAGTGGCAACATGAAGAGACGGGGAGTTACCTCACAAGTGGAGAACCAGTGTTGGCAAGGCCATTCAGTCAGGGTGGATGTGGGCCACTCCCAATAACTGATGAGGAGGTGTTAATACCAAGAGAGGGAAAATTGCTTTTGTACAGAGCCAACCACTCCCAGTCCCTATTCAAGCCCAAATTCATGGTGTTAAATTTGCAAATGAATTGTAGCTCTGCAGTTTCTCTTTGAAGTCTGTTTTTGAAGTTATTTTGTTGAAGGATGGCTACTTTTAAATCTGCTATAGAGTGTCGAGGGAGATTGAAGTGTTCTCCTACTGGCTTTTGTATGTTATCATTCCTGATGTCTGATTTGTGTCCATTTATTCTTTTACATACAGACTGTCCGGTTTGGCCAATCTACATGGCAGAGGGGCATTGCTGGCACATGATGGCATATATCACATTGATATATGTGCAGGTGAATGATGTGCAGGTGAATGAGCCCCTGATGGTGTGGCTCATGTGGTTGTGTCCTCTGATGGTGTCACTAGAGTAGATATGGGGACAGAGTAGGCAACAGGGTTTGTTACAGGGATTGGTTCCTGGGTTAGTGTTTCTGTGGTGTGGTGTGTGGTTGCTGGTGAGTATTCACTTCAGGGTGGGGGGCTGTCTGTAAGCGAGGACTGGCCTGTCTCCCAAGATCTGTGAGAATTATGCCACACACTCTGAAAGAAACTGAGGAACCACCTGATCAGCATCCTTTACAGCAGACAGGAGAAGATTAAGAATGAGCTCTCAAAACTGGAGACTCTCATATAAAACCAACCTTCCACACAAACTTCCACATGGCTTGACTTTACAAAAACGGGACAAGCCATTTACAACGCACACTTTACTTCTCTTCAGAGGAAAAAGGACCGTAAACTATCTAAACTCCTACATTCCACAGGGGGCTACAACCGTGGTACCCTTAACTCACCCAACAATATTGTTAATCTATCCAGCCACACACTTAGCCCTATCTTGGGGACTCTCTTTCCCCCCATGAACATGATACAATTCTGCAGTGATCTGGAAGCTTACTTTCACCATGTCTGACTCAAGGAATATTTTCAACACACCACTGAACAGCGCACCGATCCACAGGAACCCTCCTACCAACACTACAAAAAGAAGAATTCTGTGTGGACTCCTCCTAATGGTCAAAATGACAGACTGGACTTCTACATAGAGTGCTTCCACAGACATGCACAGGCTGAAATTGTGAACAAACAGCATCACTTGCCCCATAACCTCAGCTATACAGAACGCAACGCCATCCGCAGCTTCAGAAACAACTCTGACATTATAATCAAAGGGGCTGACAAAGGAGGTGCTGTCGTCATAATGAACAGGACGGATTATGAACAGAGGCTGCCAGGCAACTCTCCAACACCACATTCTACAGGCCACTATTCTCTGATCCCACTGAGGAGAACCTATGCCATAGCTCAAGAAACTCCCTACTACACAGCACAGGAACAAATCTACACAGACACATCCCTAAAGACCCGACCAGGGGTCTTCTATCTGCTACCCAAGATCCATAAACCTAGAGACCCTGGACGCCCCATCATCTCAGGCATTGGCACTCTTACAACAGGATTATCTGGCTATTTGGACTCTCTCCTCAGACCCTATGTTACCAGCGCTCCTAGCTATCTTCGAGACACCATGACTTCCTGAGGAACCTGCAATGCATTGGTGATCTTCCTGAAAACACCATCCTGGCCACCATGGATGAAGAAGCTCTTTACACCAATATTCCACATGAGGATGGACTACAAGATGTCAGGAACAGTATCCCTGATGAGGCTACAGCACACCTGGTGGAGTGAGTGTGTCCTCACCCACAACCACTTCAGATTTGGGGACAATTTATACCTTCAAGTCAGCGGTACTGCTATGGGTACCCACATGGCCCCACGGTATGCAAACATTTTTATGGCTGACTTAGAACAACGCTAACACTTCCAGCTCTACATTTCTATGATTAATCCTGAAACAGGGCAGGTCCCATCACTGCACAGGCCAGTCCCTCCATGTTTCTTCACTGCTCATTTAATTTCCGCAATGGCAAAATGTGCTGGATTGATAGGTGTGGGGTCGGAAATCTTCAGACCACACAACAAAGGCAGCACA